GTCAGGTGCTTTTCACCCTTTCTGAAGTGTTTCCTCAGTGGTACCTGTGGTGGGACATGAGGAGCAGGCTGGAAAGGGCCTGGGGTAGCCCTGACCTCCTGCAGTAAAAGCTCTTTTAGAACCTGACATTAATTAGAGGTTTTTATTTATTTTTTTAATTTTCTTATTTTTAAATTTTTTTTTGGTCTTAGATTGTAATGTGTTCTTCAGGAGCTTTTATGCTTTGTTTTTAAGACACAGCTGGAAAGCCCAGTGAATCCCAGACTTATTCAGAGGGTGTGGGCAGTGGTGTGTCCTGTTTGCTTGTGGGTGGGTGGGTTGTTTTTAGTTCCTGAGGAATCTGTTCTGGTGGAAGTTTGCAGATGTAGTGAGGCACTTTTTGTTCCAAAATGTGAAAAATAGTTTGAACTTGTTTCTGCATGAAATCTGTCCTGAAGTTGGGGATACTTGGATAACTCTTTCCCTAAGTGCAGAGCAGACTTTTTTGTAAACTGCTGACCTATGAATTGGGGATTTCTGAGCTCAGCATTTTTGCACTGTCCTTGCAAGGTGGAAGATGGTTCTGTGTGAAGGTGTGACATTGGGGCACCAGCAGTGGCCTACTTTAGACAAAAGTTTGAAAAGATTTAAGGTTTTGTGACAATTCATGAGACATTGATACTAAAAATAGTGGGAAATGCTTTTATGTGAGAATAAGAGTGGATTCAGGAATATGATAGAAAAAACTTGGGCATTTTGAGTGACAGAAATCATGGAATCATAGACTGTTAAAGGGTTAGAAGGGACCTTAAAGATCATCTCATGCCAACCTCCTGCCATGTGCAGGAACTTCTCCCACTAGACCAGGTTGCTTAAGGCCTTATCCAGCCTATCCAAATATTTGCAAGTAATGGCACAGTTACTTTTAAAACTCTTTTTTTTGGGTACTATTATATTTAACCTAGTGTTTGTGCTGCTGAGTAAGGTTTGCTGAATTTGGATTTGGAGACCCTTAGGAAAAACCTGGACACTTTAGAGATGCCTAATGGATTTTGGAACCTCTCAGCCCTGCAGTGGACTGGAATGAATCCATATGGAGGAAACTGCATCGTTCTGCTTTGAGTCTTTTGTGTGTCTGTGTGGGTTTGGTTTGCTTGGGGTTTTTTGGGGGGGTCTTTTGTGCCTCTGTCTCTGCTGAAAAAGCATCCACAGTGGTATAGGACAGAGAAATTCCACATAAATAAATAAAAATGAATTACCCCGTGTTCTGCTACACTGTGTAGGTGTGGACCTGTGATCAGGGAATATGGGGTGGTCTCAGAAAGGAGAATTGGCAACCCAAGGGCTGGTTCAAACCAAGTGAGAGCCACAGAAACCTGGTAAAGCCATATTTTGTTCAGTGAATTGAGTTTTAAAGCTGATGAAATTAGTGCTTAACATTGAGTCACCTGTGTGGGGTTTTCCTTGCTAGCAGAGTTCTAAAGAAGGAACTGTATTTATCTGATGGATATTTAGAAGGCAGCTTTAGGTTTTTTCTGATGTTTTAGAAACCATTTCATACCCCATGGAGAGATGTGCAGGATCAATTATTCCTGTGCCTTTTGTGCCATGGTGCAGGGGGCCTTCTTCCCTGTGTAGTGTCCTGGATGAGATTTTTGCTGTCCTGGTGACATTTTACTTTGTTACCATTCACCAATCAAAAGTCCAGTCCTATGCTGGAGTACACAGATGCAGAGATACACAAAGATACACTTTTGCAACTGAGTTTATTTCTGTTGTGTTACAAAATCTGCCCTGAAACAGGAGAAGGAAACTTGAAGAATTAAAATGGGTCACTAACAAACTGTTCCTGGTGAACTGGTGAGGAATTTCTGTCGGGCAGGGCATGTGATGGTCACTTTATGAGCTGTCACAACAAAAACAAATCCACCCTCTGCATGCCAAAGTGAGTCAAGTGCACCTCTCCAGCCTGGATCCCTGCTACCACAGGCAAAACAGGGTGATGGAATGATTGTTGGGGTTATAATAATAATAATAATAATAATAATAATAATAATAATGATTTTTTTTTAAGCAAGCTTATATTATGTTCTTGAAAAAGATGGGATTCTTCTTGCTGGTTTTGACTGGCTTTCTCTAAAGTGGGACAGGTTGGCTCTGTCCTGGTGTTCAGGCTGATCTTTCATAGAGGCAGTCTGGGTTTCTGCCTCTGCTGTTTGTCCTGAAACTCCCTTTTCACGTCAGTTCTGCATCTTGCAGCCCTTCCTAGCCATCTTTGCATGTGCAGGAGCAATCCAGCGAGCCCTCAGCCTCACAAAACCAGGGCACCACGTCTCCAGGGCTCTGGGAGTGCTGCTCTACTATATTTGGAACCAGCTCTATTGCTTCTATAATAGGAAGGCTTCTGGAAGCTTTCTCCTTGCTCTCGCCCCAAGAAAGTGGCCTTTCAGCTGAGCTTTCATGAATTCACCATCTGCATGGCAAATCAGATGGACTTTTAGAGGCTGAATAATTCAGATGTGGCTCGTGGGTCATGTGGGGGTGTTGAGGGAGGATTTTTGCCCATGCCCCATGAGCTGAGGGTGCAGCAGCCACAGCCACGCTCACAGGGACTCTGCCACCCCCACTTTGTCATTCAGGGCACGTGACAGTGCCAAGGGGTGCCAAGGCAGCTTTCTAGAAAGCAGAATGATGAGTGAGCCCCGTGTGTTTGTCACCAGAGCTGCAGCAGCACTGCCCACTGAGGGATTTACTGGTTTTGTTTTCCTCTTGGATCAAGCAGAACAAATCTAATGAGCCAGTTCTTAACTTCTTCCCAGCTGAGCAGTGAGTGATGTCCTTACCCAAATTGTGCAAGGCAGCTGAAGCTTTTCAGGAATAGTCAAACAAGAGAAACATTTGTAATATTATTTTTCCCAATACTCATGCAGGGCTAAGAGGGTGCAGCAGAGCTTGTCTTTATTTTCTTTTTCCCTTCTGAGATTTTCCTTTTGAGGGGACAACTTAGTCCTTCCAACTCTTACCCCACCTAGTGAGGAAGCGTGTGAGCCACAAGTGTGGAGCCTTTCATTCTTTCTTGACGTGATCCTGGAAGTAAAACAGGTTCTCCCTGTAGTGCTTCATTGGAATAAGCATTTCACATGCTTATCAGTACAGCAAGTAGAGCTGTTTGACAGCAGTGAGGAGTCAAATGTTGCCTTGGAGCCCTGCATGCTCATTTCCCTGCTTCTGAAACACTCTGCACTTTGCCCACTGTGCATTCAGAAGTGTTCCTTTCCTCTGAAAGGACCTAAAACCCACCTTGTAGCAGACACATTTTCCAGCATGATTCCAGGTGTGAATTGGAGAAGGCTGAGTGCAATCTGAGTTTCTGAGAACCTTGTCCTGCTGGGCTTTGTGAGTTCCTGCCAGGTCAGGGGTAGGTGGGTTCAGGGAGCAATTTGGGTTAATTCTGTCCTGGTCCACCTCCTTGGCTTCAGGTGAGAAATCAGACAAGGGAAGGAGTGAAAGACTGAACAGGCCCAGCTCCTGGAGTCTCTCCTCACAAGAGAGACTCACCCCAGAGCCCTCATTGTCTTCCTGGCCTCTGCTCATTCTGCTTACATGGGAATCTTCAGTTTTCATTTAAATTGCTGCTCTGTCTGGTGGGATCCAAGGATGGGAGCTTGGAGGAGCTTTGGGAAGGAAGGGCTGGAGTGAATTTGGTGGGGAAATGAGCACAGGACAGTGGTAACCAGGTCCTGCTGCTTTGCCAGCTCTGGTTCCTGGTGCTTGGCAGAAGTGCCATCAGCAGGTTTTGGTGTGGGAGAAGACACAGGAAACTCCCCCACATTAATTCCAGCTGGAGCCCCTGTGGCAGTTTCATTTCTTTAGATAAAATAATACCAGATCTGATGGACCATCAAACAGAGGGGAAGCCGAGCACACAAGGCTTCACAAGGCACATGATGCCTGTGATGGCTCCTTTGGGGTTAAAAGGCAGTTCTTTAGGTGTTTTAAATATGTAGATATTACCTGAAGAATGGTTAAAAGAATTGGTTAGGGGTGTGAGAGGCTGAGGACCTGGAGTGTCAATCTCCTCCTGTCAGACCTGGCCTGGGAGCTGATGTGGACCCTTCCCAGTGGGAGTGTTGGCATGGGGAAAGACTTTGTGCCAAAGCCTGTTACTTAGGAGAATCTGGTGCTGTTAGAGGTGTCCTGAGGGGTGCTTGGGGAGGGATGACTTGGCTGGGGGATGGCAGAATTGCATGTCTGGTGATCATACAATAATAACCTAAAATCGAGCTCCATGGTGGGAGAATGGACATGGAACTTGGTTCTTGCAAGAAAACAAATACCCTTATCTTATTATAAAGCCTCAGCACTGACTTTTCCCACCCTAATGACTGTTTTTGTTATTAACTCCTCTGGGTTCTGCTCTGAATCACTTGCTGCTGCTTCCTTCTGCATCCTGAGTGTGCTGATGCTCTTTGCCCAGCTGATCCAGAGTAATATCCCAAAGCTTGCCCTGCGTGGAAGTGGGGTGGTCAAATGTGTTTTTACACATGTTTTTACCCGCAGGGCGATTGTTGCTCAGATCCAGCCCCGAGGCCACGGCCTCCTTTCAAGAAAGTCAATTTTCTGAGAGGATGTGCCCACCCTTTGAACTGGTTTGTTGATCAGTTACTGTTGCTACAGCTAAAACACACTTGCACTTGCACTAATCAAAATATCAAAAGCTGTGGTGAATTGCTACACAGATGGGGAGACCTTGACTGCAGCCTGGTTGGGTTGATACATTTGTTTTTCTAGGCTGCAGCAGTGCTCAAACCTGGTGATAAGAGAGGGAATTTTGTGGGCCCGTTCCCTGAGCTCGGTCCGCGGCTGAGAGGATGTGTTGCTTTCTGCTGCCAAAAGCAGAGTCCTTCCCACATCTTGTGCAGAAAGGCATATGTTTGGGGGTGGTTTCAGAGAGGGAGAAGAACACGATTAGGCTTTTAACTTCCTCTTCTCTTCTGTTTCTCTGTGCATCTGTATTGCAGTTTTTTGGGCTGTACCTGACTCTGTGCAAAACTTAAATCGGCTGCAGCTCCTTCTGCTAAGGATCAGCCTTGGTACAGAAACAGTGGTAGTTAAAAGGCAGTAAGTATATCTGCTAGATTAAATGCTGGGGGTTTTTTTTCTCTTTTCCTTTTTTTTTTTAATTCACAAGCACAGCTTTTTACTCTTCACACAGTAGGAATTTGTCAGGAGCTTGCTGGCATTAATAGTCTATTTCAGCTCTTTTCTATAGCCCAGCAGCTACAGAGGGGGGGAAAAAGCATGCTTTGTATGGAGCTGTGGTTGGGTCTGTGCTGCAGTGCCCATCTGAACTTGGCTGTGTCTATTTTGTCAGCTTTTGCTTCCCTCTAGTAGTTGCTGGTCCCTCCCTAAACTCATGAAATCCCACCATACAATGCCTGTGCTTGGGTCAGGGTTCTGGCTACTCCTGACCTGAACCAATTCTCTTGATGGTTTTGCTTCTCGAGCTCTTTACTGCAAACAAGATATCTTTGAGTTTCAATTCTTTGTCTGGCTTTTTATCTTTTACTTCTCAATTGATCTCCAGAGGAGTAGTGCTAGGACAAAACATGTGGTATTCTTGACCAGGGATCCATGGAGAGGGTGTAAGCTGTTGGAAAAGTGAGTGGCATTCTTGAAATGGTGTGGTTGCGTTTATTTGGGTGTGGATATAATCATGCTTCTGTGATACAGTTCCTGCTGAGTTTGAAATGCTAGTGTTAGTAAAGCCAGAAGGAGAGCCAGACAAAAGCTTGGAGAAAAGTCAGAATTTCAGTGCCTTTTAGTGATGGTTCATGGGAAAGTAACGATTTTGTGTTTGAGTTTCCTAAAGCACGGGGCATATGCTTTTTACTTCTCTGTGAATTACTGCTTGTGAATGTATATCTTTACAGCATGAGAACATCAGAAACACCTGGTTTTGTGCCTAGGTTTCACTCATAGAGGTAGGTCCTTGTCAGAGACTCTGGGTAGTCTGATGAAAATGGTGTTTAACTACAAAGCTTCAATTTCTGCTGTTGCTGATTGTGGCTGCCTCATTCCTGGTCTCCCTGAATCCCTGGAGCAGAGGACATGTTCTCCTCCTCCTGCTCTGCCTCCATCTCCTCCACCCCACACGTTTCTTAGCCTTGTGTAGAGCTCAGCAGAGATTTCTTCATGAAGACTGGAATGTGTTTATATAATATTTTATATATTATTTTAGGCTCCTGCTACTCAAATGTAGGCAAACTCTTAACCTCTTATTCGCCATCATTAAACGAACCGTGGAATTGCTGTAGCAGACATCAAGTCAGGTGGATCTAAACCAGCTTCTGTTTTTCCTGCCTGGAAGGTTCATCCTTCATCATTTTCCTGGCAAGTGTGGCTACCAAGAGCAGGTTTTCCAGGCCAGGAGTGTTTAGTGGGAGCATTGATTGTGAACCATGCCGGTGAAGCAGTGCTGGGCTGGGCGTAGTGGGGGCTCTTCTGTGTGGGAGGCATTGGGAAGGGGGTGATGTGAGAGACTCAATCTCTGCAAAAGCAGGGCTAGGACAGCAGTAGGAACGCTGGGCAGAGCTGCTGAAAAGGAGAGAACAACCTGCTGCACTAAATCACAGCTCCCCTGGGGACACAGCTCCATAGTTAGCATCCTCAACTGGCATTCCTTTATTACGGCATCATTGTGCACAGTCCTCTAGAGAGGAAGCAAACGGTCTCTAAAACAATCTGCTGGCAGCTCAGGCTGGAGTGTTTGAGGTTTTCCAGGGCTCTTTTGCTGTGTCACTCTTCCCTTTAATGTTCCAGCTTGAAGGTTGTTGTTCTTTCTCCATCAAAGTGCGTTAAAGCGCCGGTAAGGGTGTCTGCTCCAAGGACAAGGTGGAGAAGGCAGCAGCCCAGGGAGGACAAGAGATACTGCAGAACAGCTTTGTTCTGGTGTAATCTGCCTTATCTGCATGTGATGCAAAGACAGGGCAGTTTTCACAAGACTTGGAGGCTGCCTGGTGACATGTTTTCTGTCCTTTTATAAAATCCACCACGTTATTTTGATTAGAGCGCTAACGTAACTCCTGGCAGCCTCAAATCTCACTGCTAGCAGCTACTTCCCTCCAAAGCCTGATGTGGTGCTAACAAGCAGAGAGATCTTGTGCGTCCTGTTTACATGGAGCTGGGAAGACAGCGTGTTCCGTGGGAGGTGCCAAGGTAGAGCTGCAGTTGGATAAAAGGTGAAAAAACTGCTGTGTGTGCAGACAGGCTGTGGTGGGGAGTGTTCATTTGTGTTTGGTGGTGTTCAGGAACTCCAGCTGCAACACTTGGCATGATGATGTTAAGTTGTTTTAAATCTGAATATGTATCTTTTCTATCTATGCATGCGTAGCATGTTTGTGTTTGTATATATTTATATTTATATCTATTCTCTCTCATGGGAAAATCTGATCATCTGCTCTCCTCATCTCCTCATGTAGCTCTCTGTTGTTCAGATTTTAGGTGGCAGAGACACGGTGAAGCTGAGTGTGGGGCAGGCAGAGCTGATGGGGGAGCCTGGGGTGTAGCCCAGGATGGACTGGCTGTGACGAGGACGTGCCTTAGCCGCAGAGGTCGTTACCATGAAGAGTTCCTGCAGAGCTGGCCTCCACAGGGAACCGCTGACTTCCACATCCTCCACCTTCCATCAGGGCAAACGGTACGAACACACCGCCTGCTCTGCCTGCAGCTCAGGCTTCAGCACCGCTTGTAGCCTTGTCCTTGTCCTCTCCCATTGTCTTGTGCTCTCACTCAAATGTTTGCTCAGAATTCTGACTTTCAGGTGGTGTTTAAGTCGTAATGGCTTAAGGGCAGAAATGTTCTTTGACGTTTTTATTTGATCGTGACAACTACAGATTCGCTGCAGCTGGTAGTGTACTTGCAGAAATCCTTGGGTTTTCTAGCAACAGCTGTAAATTAGTTTGGGAAACATGACTTTGAAGTAAAACTTAATTGGTGAAAGGCTCATCAGAGTAGGCTTTTAAAACATGCAGGCAGCTTAAAGCAAGTGGAAATGCTGGCAGTCATTGTTGTGGTTTGTCTTACTATGGACTAAGTAATTAGATTAGTTTAAGCTCACATTTTGGATTGCTCACTCTCCTGAGTCTCTTATTAAGGAGAAATGCACGATTGATTTCAAGCACTTGTGCTTATGTGACAATTAAGTGAACGCCTCTCACTGTGTCTCCTTATAGGAACACCATGCAGAACAACTTGTCCTCATGCAAATGCAAGGACATGCCAGTTTGTTGGAGTTCAAACTACTTCAAAATAAATGTGTTTTTTTTTTTTGTAATTCTTTTTCTGAAACCAAGGCTCTTAAACTTCCTCAGTCTGGAGGAAGAGCGCCAGTTTTTGGTTTCCAAAGGCTGTGTGGGTTTAAAGCAAACTTTTAACCTTTGTTCTTTGTGGTTGTGTAGACAGCATATACTTGCTATGTTAGTCTCATGGTAATTTAGTGCTGGAAAAGACTTCCTGGGTCACCCAGCTCCTTGCTTTCCCAAGCAGGATCTCATAATCCCTTTTGTGAACTTAGTCCAGCCTAAAAACATTTACATCTTTTCTTGCATCTTTTCTTCTCTCCTCCTGTAGATCAAGCCATTACCGAAGATGACAGATCTTGCTGTGCAATTAGGAACCTTCTTTTCATTCCCAGGCTGAACATTCATGACAGTTTATAGACTCATTTGAGTTTCTGTTCCTTTATTTGCCTTCTGCCTAAGGACTGCTGCTCATTTTCAGTGGTTTAACTCTTCTTCTGCATTCTGTAAGAGGGGGGTGTAACCCTCACCTGTGGTTTTGCTAAGTGACCCAAGTGTTCTTTAGTAGCTTCCTGAGTAGCAGTTGCTGCTGTTCTCAGTGTGATGCCCCTCACAGAATATTCTCAGTCCTGGCTAAAAGTGTGTGCTGTGCTCTGGAGCTGCTCTGCCTGGAGGGCTTCTTCATCACCTTCATGGATGTCTCTGTGGTGGCCAGTTCACCTCAGTTACTAACAACACTTGTTAGTGTTCCTCCTGCTGATGCATCACTGCCTGCATTTCAAAACCCTCCTCAGTTTCTGTTACTTGGAGCTTTGTGTCTCTGCTGTTTTGGAACTGCCTCTGTTTCTGTGGGTGCAGAATTAGTGCTGAGGTCATTTTTAACAAAGTCAGATGTTCCCAGGGCTGATTCTTGAGGCATGTCTTTGGTTTCCAGGCTGGTATTTTCTTATTCAGCATCACCTGGGGCTGTCTCCTGCTAAGCCAGCTCCTTTGTCTGTTTTCCCATTCCTCTGCCAATCTGTCTTAACCAGTAAATCTCTTTGTGCTCTCTGAAGTCCATGTGAGGGAGATATAGTAGATTGCTCTAAAAAGATGGGGTTTTTTTTTGAGAACCTTGAGGTTAGTCTGGCATATCTAACTATTCCCTCTTCCCCCTTTTTCTGTGTGTCACATTAATCCTCTTTGCTTGCAAAGCACCTTTATATTGGAGTCAGAATAGGAGCCCTGGAGAGGCTGTGATCATTCTCCTTCTCTTTCTCCCCTGCAGTGCCCCCTCCAATGTGCCACATGTTTATTATCTCCCATTGTTGCCTTTCAAGAGGTTTATAAATCCTGTTTCTTGGCCTGCAGTGCATGAGCCTATCTGGTTTGGATTCTAACACTGGGATGAGCCAATCCTCACAATTTTTATGAAGCTCTCTAATCCTCCTCCTGCCAATGCTCTCGTTCAGATTAACGCCTGGGCTTTTGCCCTCATCATCACCCTTACCTCTCCTCTTTAAAAATGGTGCAAAGTCAAATTTGGTATTTTGTGTTGTACTCTTGATCTCTGCCCTGCCCTTGCTTGCAACCCTGTTTCTCTTTTCTCTCACAAACTGAAAAAAACCTCTCACTATTTCTTTGTTATTAAATATCTCTGCAGTGACTTAACACTGCACCAGTTCTCATGTTTATTCCTGGACTTTTTGGTCTCTAAGGTAGAAGTTTCCAAGTGATGTGACCTGAAACCTGTGTCTGCTTGTGCTATCTTTCACAAAAAAGGATCACATCCAGTTGGAGTTGCTTTGAATCTTTAGTTTGGGATGTGTTCTTAATAATGAAAACACCTCCTGACTCCTGGAGAATGCAGTGTGCAGTGAAATCCTCCCCAGCACAGCTGAATTCATCAACCACTTTCTTTCAGTCTTGAGTTTCAAAAGGGCAACCTGTCTTCAACTCTACTTTTGCTTGTTTTTATTTTGAATGCTGAGTCTGTTGCCGATCGTGTGGTCCAAGGTTAATTTCTGCAACCTTTGATGTGTTCTCATTGCATATGCACAACAATGAAGGCTATAAATAGCATCACTCTCTGGTGCTTGGTTAACACAAGGAATTTCTTGCACTGTGATATGAAGAAAGGTCCTCTTAGAGTCTATAAATCAGGAAACAAATTAATAAATGTAAAACACTTCCAGAAGGACACTTGGCACTTACCTTTCAGCAGAAGCCCTGTAAAAGCAGCAGTTTTTGTCTTGCTGTCCCTCTGTGATTTCCCCTCATCCTGTCCCACCACAGCCACCTGTGCCATCCCATCAGATCTGAGCTGCACATTTCTGGAGCAGCTGATAACCTCGAATTCCAAATCTTTCAGTTTATTTTATTCCCTTTTGCTTTGTCATGTCTGGTGTGGTTGGGAAGCAGGGCTCTGAGCTTCCTGAGGCTCAGCACAGAATTGCTGCTGCATCTCTCCCTTCATGGTGAGTGCTTTTATTCAAAGGCCTGGCAAAGCTGTGGCACTTCTTCCTGTACAAAATGTAGGAAGTAGCCAAGGCCACTATGCTTTACTGAAGGGTGGGTGTGTGTTTAGTGTAAAACAAGTTCAAAACATTGATGGGTGGGAGCCCTCAAAGTGGAGTGGTCTGTGTTGGGCTTGGGGGTGCATTCTGTCACCCAGAACCTCTGTGTGCTGCAGATGCTGGGCTTTGTGGGATGGATTTGCTGGCTGTGCTGGGTGCAGCTGTGTTTGGGTGTTGTCTCCCCCAAAATCAGCTTATCTGAGCACCTGATGCAGGTGAACCAGCTGGGGAGGGACCCAGCTTTAGGAGCTTGGTTCTTACAGTGCATTTGGCTCCTCAGCTCTGCCCCTTGGTTTTGGCATTCTCCCACTTGCCCCAGGTTGGCCACTGGAGCAGAGAGCTCTCCTTCAGCAGCCACATGCCTTCTGTTTGCCTTCAAATCCCTCTCTAATCCTTGCTGGCTCTCCCTTTGCTGCAAGAGGCATTTTGGAGGTGTTGGGAGCTGGGTCAGGAGCAGTTGCTGCTCCAAGGGGAGTGGGTTTTCAGGAAATCAGATGCTTCCACAGCTGCCAGAGTCAAACCCACCCCTGCTCTGGAGCTTCCCAGCCCTCCTTTCTGTGAGCTTGGACCCTTGCCATGCTCCAGAACAAACTCCATGAGTGCAGAGAGCCTTCCATGGTGGGATTTTCCCCAGCAGAATCCCTGGAATGCCTTTGAAGCAGCTCTCTGTCTGCTTTGCCTTGCCCTGGCAGTGCAAAGGGGATGGAAATGGTACTGGAGATGGAGCCCAAAGGACCCACCAGGCCCTTCCAGAAATAACAAGTGGTTGACTGTGGTTAACTCCCACTCAGTGCTCAGTCCTTGCTAATTGTCAGTGTCCTTTATGGAGGAGGAAAACTCCATGGACAGAGAGCTGGGATGCCAGGGAAGAGGAATGCTTTGCCAGAGGTGTGGGGTTTTTATTGTTGTTGATTTTTTTCCTTTTATTTTTTTTTTGGCTTCTGCCTTGTGTTAGTATGTCCTGAGGGGTTTTTCAGAGTTGTAGTTGGCACTGGGTGTGCAGTCAGCAACGTGAGGAGCTTTTTTCAACTGGAGTTGGTGTTTACAAGGAGAAATCCATAGGAAACTTGGGGGTTTTGATGGAAATTTTCCCCCTAATAAAACCTTCCAGTGCTTTGCCCAGAAAACTTGCAGTGTGAATATGCTGTTTGTGAAGATCAGGCTTTTTTGTCCTGGCTGTTCTTGCTGGCCAGAGGAAATCTTTTGGCTTCGCAGGGCATCATCAGAGCCCCTGAGCTGGGAGCTGCAAGGGGAATTAAGGTTCTCTGTAGGCCTTAGAAAGGAGTTGTGAAAACTGAGTCTTTTCTGACAGTTTTGCCTCCAACTCTGGAGTTTCCACTAAAGCAAATGTATTATTGTTTTAGGCTGCTGTGATTTAGAACATACATAAACACAAAAGGATGCTGGAAGAGTCTGGCCAGCTTGGCAAATAGAATCATGGAATGATTTGGATTGGAAAAGACCTTAAATCCCATCTCATTCCAACCCCTTGCCATGGGCAGGGACATTTCCCACTAGACCAGGTTGCTCCAAGTCTCATCCAGCCTGGATTTGGACACTTCCAGGGATGGGGAACCACCAGTGGGTTGTGGGTCTTCCCTTGGGTGGGGAGAGGAGGGGTGTGTGAGTATCTGAGCTCATATAAAGGAATAGATTTCTGTATCAACAATGTGTAGTAACCAGCTTGATAAAACTGCAGTGGAAACAAGCTGTAGTTAGGACTTACAAAAACAGCAGTCTCATTCCAGCAGTGCAAGTATCCTGTTTTTCAGACATGGCTGATTAGAAATAGAAAAACTGGCCCCTTTATTTCATCAGCTTAAGGATGGAATAACAGTGTAAAGGCAGCACTGCTCGTTGTTTCAGTGCTGATCATTCCTGGCAGAATTCTCTCTTATCAGCAATTTAAAACCACACATTTGGGATTGAAAACCTTTTATGTTTGCTCCCGTGGACTTCTGAAGAGTCGTTGTCTCTAAAGATAAAATTAGAGAGCTTGATAACTTAAAGGGTGGAGGAAAGCAAACAGAATTATTCTGGAATGAAGTGTCATAGGGAATATGTGACTTCACCTTTTAACAACTATTTTTGGTGGTTTTAAATATTTAAAAGCTTACCTGCAGCTGCCACAGCTCTGTGCTTGCCAGCACTGAGAAACGGGGGAGTCTGTGGGTGGGGACTGGGCTCTGGTTCATCTTCAAAGCAATTTCTGCTGGGAAGCCTTGTTCTAATTGTAGGAGCTAGAGATGAAATGTGCTGCTGATGTGCAGGGAAGAAGCTGTGATTGCCTGAAAGTTCATTCTCAATGTCCACAGCAAAGGGCGTGTGAGGTGGGGGCTCGTTTTTTCCAAGTGACACTTTCAGGTAAGGCTCATTGCTAAAATGGCTTTTGAAATGAAAGTTCTCTTCCCTGCTGCTGGAAAACTCTGAGGCAGGTGGCAGCTGGTCTCATGGAGTTTGCAGAGCTCTTTATAGCTGTCTGAAGTTATTAGATGAAGGTTTTCTTTAAATCCAGATCCATTAAAACATGTGCAATGAACTGAATGCTGAATTCAAATGAGGCAATTATTCTGGCAGTAAAACTTCTGACTAAGGCATAATTTTGTTATGTAAATTATAACTTTTCAACCTTAAATGGTATTGTTGGCTTAGCCAGGGACTAACTGAAACATAGGAAATATAACCTTAAACAAGAAATCTGTAGTAGGTGAGGCAGAACTTTACTCTTTGTCTTTCTCCATGGAGCAGAAATAGCTGGGAGCAGCTGAACCAACTCTGCTGGCTGAACATGTCCCCTGAGCCTGTTGGGGTAACCAGTTTGGTGCTGGTTTTATTCACATAATTCCTGCTCTCACCTCCATTTGCAGCTTCTCTTAATGAAGGGTGTTGAGCTGATTGTCCTGCTGGATTCCTGAAAACTGCTTGAAGAAAGCCTTTTAAAAACAAGCTCAGCTCATCTTTCAAACACCTTGGCACAAAACTCGTGAATGAAATTTGATCTTCTGCTCCTGGCTCAGGAGATTTCAGCATGCAAAGCCGTGTTTTAATTGTATTCACCTCCTCTCCCCAGGGTACGGTGGCGAGCAGGCACTGGAGCCTTTCCCTCCCTAGTCTGGGAAATGTCCTTCTGGAAGGGAAGGGAGGGGAAGGCTGCAGGCACTGCTCTCTGCAGCACTTTGCTGCAGTGCTTCACCTGCTGCTCTTCTGGGCTGGCCTTTGGCCAGGTCACCTCAGTGGCCTGACCCTGCTTCACTGTGATGTACAACCAGAGTGAGGCAGCCCCTGTGAAAAATGAGGCCAAAGCAAACTCCAGCAGCCTCATTTTCCCATTTTTCTCTCCATGCATCTATTTCAACGCCCTGAAGTTCTATTTTTATGAGATTATTTTAGTTTTTAGCATCCGACTGAGGAGGCAAACAAAGTAGCTCAGTTGCATTTTGCAGAGGAGACTAAACTGGGAGGTGACCCAATTCCAAGGAGCTGGAATTGGCACACAGGCAGAGAATTAACCCAGGGGTGGGTGGGTGTGTCTGCAGCACTGGGAGCTCTTACCCCACAGTCTCTGGGTGAAATGCAGGTGGTTTTGGCATTGTCTGGTTGCAAGAGCCACGTGATGATCTCCCTAAAAAATCCAGAGGGAAGGAACCTACATCTGCCTTTCCAGCAGCTGCTTCCTGGCCTTCAAAGCCCTGCTTGGACCAAAGAGGTGTAGAAAGGTGAACTGAGCCCTTCCTCTTGGTGTACCTGCCCAAAATCTCTGTGCCTGCCCTCCCTTGTTGTCACTGGAGCCAGAAGGAGGAACCAGGGAAAGCAGTCTTCAGCTGCTTCTAGTCCTGGAGGCTTCCCCTGCTTGGGCAACATCACTTATACATTTGTTGGACTTTATAGACCAACAAATTGAGGTTTTTAGTTAAAAGTTGGTTTTAGGCTAGAAACCTTCAAAGTTGCCACACTTAAACAACTCTCTTGGTGTTGGCTCTCAAGGGGAACATGTTCAGTGCCTGTGTCTGTGCCAGCTCATGATGAACCTGGCATTGAACCTGCTGCTCTTGCCTCCTGAGCACAGATCATCCCTGAAGTGGAGGCCTTGGAGTGCAACACCTCAAAGATTACCATGGAAACATAACCTGTAGTTAGTTCTGTAACGTGCTTGTGAGATACTCCCGGGAGAAGAGCCTGGAGTCTCCTGGTGGTTGCATCCTGTGTGCAGTTCCCCAGGCTCTGCTGTTCCTGAGCTTGGAAGGGAAGGTGACTGTGGAGGTGTGACAGGACAGAGGAGTCTTGGATGCTGTCAGCAGCATCCAGGGGGTTCTTCACAGCTCTGGAATTCCTGAGTGTAAAATCCCATCCTTGAGAGGGGGTGTCCTCAGCTGGATGTCATGCTGCTGTCACTTTGGGGGGGCATTGATGTATAACAGAAGGACCCTTATGGCAAAGTCACCAAATTTGCCATTATCAATATGCTGAAGGAAAGGTTTCATTGCCCAGAGAAGCTGTGGCTGCTTCATCCCTGGATGGGTTGGATGGGACTTGGAGCAACCTGAGACAGTGAAAGGTGTCCTGCCCATGGAAGGAAGTAGAACAAAATGAGCTTTAAGGTCCTTTCCAGCCCAAACCACTGTGTGATTTTGGGTGATAGGAGGAGATTAGATATCCCTTGGGATCTCTGATTAATATAATTACTCTTGCTAATTTCTCTTTTGAGCTTTAACCACATTTTATCTACTGAAAAGAGTGTGTGTGGTAGCTGATGTCCAGATTAAGCCTGTGACCCGTGTGTGCCTTGCCTTGGATCAAGGAATGAACAGGCAGAAGGATGGCTCTAGCTCAAGAATGAACCACTAGCTATGTTTTCACAACTGATACAACTTAAACTGTAGGGTTTCTCCTTGCAACTGCCTGGAAACAGATTTCTCTAATGGGAAGTTCTCTCCTACTGCAGGAAGTTCTTCAAGGGTGGATATTGCAGCCTTGGTGGCTCCTTTCCTTTCTCATGTGGTTCCTCTTGAGGTGTGGGCTGGTGCCTGCTCTGGGCCACCTTCTCTAATTCCAGACAGGCATATTTTGCAACTATAACTTCTTCCCTCTCTGTTTTTCCAGGGTTTCTGGTATGCACTTAAAGCCATATCTCAAGTTACAGAAGAAAGAGCGATCCCCAGAAATAAGCCAGGATTCCCTCCGAGGCCACCAGGAACCAGCACAAGGAGAAAAATTCACCAACTGCACCAAACTGAGCGTTTTCCCAAAACCCTCCCTGGTGGCTCCATCTCAAAAGCTTCTGGGGTTTATTTATCCAAATACTATGTGCAATATGAACGGGAAAGGCCCGGCGGACGCTCCGAGTGCAAGGGACAAGAAGAACGCCCTGTCTGCCACCATCCACCAGGGAGAAGAAGGGGAAGGACCTCTGGATGTGTGGGCTGTGGTGAAACCTGGCAACACCAAGGAGAAAATCGCCTTCTTCGCAGCCCAGCAGTGCGGCAGCGGCACCCGCACGGGCTCCATGAAAATCAAGAGCACGTGGGACATCGATGGGAGAACGGCCAAACGCAGGAAAAAATCGGTGGATCTTAAAAAAGCCAAAATCCAACTGGAAAGAATGAGGGAGGCCAACTCCAGGTGCTCCCAGCCGGAGCCGTTCGCCTGCGGCATCGAGCACTGCTCGGTGCACTCGGGCGGCGACGGCACCGAGGGCGCCTTCCCGGGCCGCTCGCTGTCTGTCATAGAGATGGTGGCTTTCCTGGAGCAGCGGGCCAGCGCCCTGCTGGTGGACTGTGCCAAGACCTGCACGGCCACCAGGCTGAGCTCCCAGCCCAGGGCCACCCTGCCCAGCCCCGAGCCCTTGTCCCCGGGCGGGGCGGGCGAGGCGGAGCCGCAGGGCGAGCCCGTGCGCGTGCTGGACATGGTGGCCAGGCTGGAGTCCGAGTGCCTGAGGCGGCAGAGCGAGGCCGGGAGCCTCTCCCGCAACAACAGCTTCCGCAGGAACGTGGGCAGGGTGCTCCTGGCCAGCGGCACCCAGGCCGAGGGGGACGTGGGGAAGGGGGTCCCGCCCCGGGGGGACGGCACGGGGGAGGCAGGGGTGGCAGAGGCCGGGTACGGAGGTCGCTGCGGCCCCCTGGGTGACACCGAGCTGTGGGATGGCGCTGCCTCTGCCCAGCAGCCGTTTCCTTCGGGGCTGGATACCCGCGTGGGGAATGTGAATTCGGGACTTGCCCGGGCGGTGTTGGCCATGACAGCTGGCAGGAGTGACGCTGAAACGCGGATGGAGCCCCCCGGGGCTCTGCTGGCCCCGTGTCCCGCTGCTGCTGCCAGGCTGCCGCCGGATCCCCTGCAGAGCAAGAACGCGACTGTTGATTGTACGGCGAAAGAGCCTGTAATTTTCCCAAAGCATCCTGCTAGGAAGGAGCCCTTGTGCATCAGTATATCGGTCACCAAGACAGAGGAAGGGTGCAGGAAGGAGAAGCTCTCCGGTTCTGGTGAGGAGTCACTGCCAGGGAGGCTGTTTTTCCTCCAGGGTGAGCAGCCTGCTGCTCACGAGCAACAGCCACGGCGGGAGAGTCCCCAGGAGAAGCCAGGGGAAGTAGCCCAAAATGAGGATGAGGATGCTCTGGCATCTGGTAGGTCGTGTGTCAGAAGCAGTGTCCCTACAGAGCCATCGGCCCCTTCTGTCCCTGCCACAGAAGGGGCTTTGCAAGTACTTGATGCCTCCTGCCTAAAGCGGCAGGTTTCACATGACTTTCTGGAGACCAGGTTTAAAATCCAGCAGCTCTTGGAGCCTCAGCAGTACATGGCCTTCTTGCCTCACCACATCATCGTGAAGATCTTTGGGTTGCTTCCCACCAGGAGCCTGGTTGCCCTAAAATGCACTTGCTACTACTTCAAGTTCATCATTGAGTACTACAACATCAGGCCGGCCGACTCGCGCTGGGTGCGCGACCCTCGCTACCGGGAGGACCCCTGCAAGCAGTGCAAGAAGAAATACGTCAAGGGGGACGTGTCCCTGTGCAGGTGGCACCCCAAGCCCTACTGCCAGGCCCTGCCCTACGGGCCTGGCTACTGGATGTGCTGTCACCGCTCCCAGAAGGGCATCCCTGGCTGTAAGCTGGGTCTCCATGACAATCACTGGGTCCCTGCCTGCCACAGCTTTAACCGCGCCATCCACAAGAAAACCCGAGGGGCTGGAGCAGAGGTGGAAGAGGAATATTAGTGCACAAACACTTTCCTGCAAGATTGAGATTGTTTGGGAGAGGAGGAGGAGGAGATTCTCATGCCTTGTGCTGTTTACAGTGTATATAATTGTCGTGATTTTTTTTTTTTTTTCTCCACAGGGCTATGAAACTGCACATACTCAAACACAAGAGCCTTTACCTTTTAGATTAAAAGAGAGCTTTTAGTCCATCTCTGTAAATAACACTATAAAAACTAATTGTACATACAGAGTCTACAGCTGGCTGAACAAGGTAACCCCTACAATGCAGCTATCCCAGTGTTGCGGCTATAGGTGTGTGTGTTTTTAAGTGTCTTGTTTCAAAATCTGTATATCCTGTATAATATATGAATGTTTCTGAGAAGAAACTCTAAATAGGTAAAGGTCAACTTGTTTAAAGAAGCTGCAGACAACTTAACTGGACAACCTGAAACTTAGACTATAGAACAGATCCATTATAGTAGCGTGGCAGTGGATTAAAAAAAGAAAAAAAAGAAAAGAGAGGAATATTATTGTATAGTCAGAATATAAAAAAAGTTCTTGTCTACCTTACCCATGTTGTCTGGTTGGGTTTTTTTTTTTTACATGAATAAAATGTGCATTCTAGATCTGCCTTACCAGACTTTCTCTTGTAAGACTTTTGCCCCAAAATAAAAAATGCTGTAAAACACGTGGCAGAAACTTGGTGCTGTGCTGTAGTTCAGACGTGCAATGTGCTTTCTCTAGGAAACCTCTCCTCCTACTAACAAAGGAACAAACCCCCCCCAATCTCTAGTACTTGGAGAACTCCCTGCTGTAACAATCAGAGATTCCAGCTTTTCCTTCTGCCTGCAGCAGAGGCTTCTTTCCTTGGGAATTCTGGTGCTAGGTGCACTTTCTGGTCCTCTTGCTCCTTGGCTCTTGCCTGGGCACCTGTGCTGTTCCCTGGATGCTCGAGGATGGAGTGTGGGTCCAGCAGGATGAGTGTGGAGTTGCCTTGGCTCTGTGATGTGCTGCAAGCTTTCCTATCAGCTCTGGATGGAATTTTTTCCTTGCAAGAAGACTCCTTGCAGTGCTTTGCCTGCCCTGCTGCAGCCCTGGCCTCTCCCTCTGCCGTGGGTTGGTGCTTTCCAGGGCAGCTGCAGAGCTTTGTGTCGGATGAGCGGCGCTTCCTCGCACTGAGAATGGGAGCACAGAGTGTGGCATCCATGGCAGAGTTTCCCTGGATCCTTTCCTGTCCTGCAGTGCTGTGAGCCAGACCTCAGCCTCCTGCTGCAGCCCTCGCAGGGTGGATGGTTTGGAAGCCTGGGAATGGACCCTGGCCAGGGGAGCAGCTCAGCCAGGGGAGCAGCAGCCGCGTTCCCGGAGCCCAGCAGAGCGTGGCAGCCCCGCCTTTGCCCTGGCCCCATCCCTCCCGTGCCCCTCTTGGTGCTGTTGCTGTTCCTCTGCCCCTTCTCAGGGCACAGATGGACTCCTGGCTCTCACCATTCCAAATCTCTGACCTGGTGCAAGAAGAGCCGGTGCCACCTTCCCATGGGGTCACCTCTGCTCTGCAACCCCCAAGGAGCTGCTGGAAAGGGCAGGGAAGGGGTGGCCCTGCCCCTGGCTCATCCTGTTCTCTGTCCTTTGCTGTGGAAAGCTGCTGGCTGTGGGGCCAGGCTGAGCCAGCCACCTCCACCTGCCCTGGGCTCACAGGGAGTGACTCACCTGGTTTGGAGCATGAGGAGGACAAAAGGCTTTGAAGGCTTTTGTTCTTTCCTTTAACAGTGGGAGAAGGAAAATCAAGCCCTGACAGCCTGAAATGTGGGTTTGGTGAGCTGAGGCTTTTCAGGGAAGTTTAAAGGATGTGCTGGGTTTATATTTTGCCTTCACCTGCTCCTGCCACCCACCGGGTGTCATCCACCCCTCCCCGAGCTGCTCAGCCTCCCTGCACTGCAGACATGATGACAACCAGGAGGAATGAAATTAGGAATCTAAAAGAAGGGTGTGGCCACCTTGTAATCGGCTGGGAAGAGGGAGAGGAAGAGTAGGATCCCTCCTTAACCCCTGACTTCATCCCCTAACGGGGCTCAGGCTTCACCCAAAGTCCCCTCTGCTCCCTCAGCTGCACCTGGACCAGCAGCACAAACAAGCCCCAGGCTGTTGTTTTGCCAAAGCCATCGGCATCAAAAGCCTTCAGCTTAATTCTGATGAGGGGAAAAGGGAAAGAAGCTGCTTTCCTGCTCCCCCACCCAAGACTCTGGAAAACTTGAGGCTGACAGCAACAAGGAAAGTCCCTGCAAGGCTGGAATGGAGTGGCAGAGGAAAATATTTTGTAATTAGATAAGGGGCCAGTGAGGTCATTTTATTTGGAACAGGGTGTGAGATTTTGGTCACCTTTGTTGAACAAGGGGAAAAATGAGGATAAAATAATATCATGAGGCTGTTTTGTTCTTGGAGCAGGTAAAGCCAGAGGACAACTTGCTGCCTCCCCTACCCCATCCCTGCCCCCAGGCTGGCTGGGGACATGGGCTGGTTTATACATCATTTATTACATTGTCTGCTGGAACTGTCCCTCCTGCACAGCATTGCTGTTAAAAATTGTTTCACAGAGCAAGCTTTTACATCCAGAAATGAGTTGGTTCTGAGTGTTGCCATGCTGAGCTGCCTGCAGGCATTTTTTTTTCTCCTGTAACATTGTAAAATGCAGATTTCTGTTTCCTTAAGGGATGGTTCAGGGAAAAGCCAAGGTCTGATGAATGTTAGGGTTTTGGGTTAATTGGAAGCAATTAAAAAAAAATAAAATCCAGTGTTGGATTTACAAAGTTCAGTGTTTAGAACTGAGGATGAAGGACTGCACCATGTGCTTGACTTCCCTGCCTGGGAGCATTTGGAGTGTCTGGACTGAATTTCCAGATAGGCCTGCAAAGAAGTTGTAATAACATTTCCATTGTCCATAAGCTTCCAGTTTTCACCAAGCTCTGGGGCTCTCCTGGCATGGACAGCACTGTGGAAGCTGCCTGTGGCTGAGCCTTGTGGTTGGGCTCTTGCTCCATCCTGGCTGTTTCTGAAGCAGCTTTTCCCTTTGCTGGGCCCTGTTCCCTGTGGAGAAACCCTGGGATGCTGCAGCAGAGCTCAGTTCCTTGGGTTGGACCCAGGTCCTGCAGCCCCTGCCCCATGCAGCCCCTGCAGCTGTTGGGAAGGCCATGGAAAAGCTCCAGGGCTGGAGCTCCTCTGCTCTGAGCCAGGCTGGGAGAGCTGGGGATGCTCACCTGGAGAGGAGAAGGCTCCAGGGAGAGCTCAGAGCCCCTGGCAGGGCCTGAAGGGGCTCCAGGAGAGCTGGAGAGGGACTGGGGACAAGGGATGGAGGGACAGGAGCCAGGGAATGGCTCCCCCTGCCAGAGGGCAGGGATGGGTGGGAGATTGAGAAAAAAATTCTTGTCCAGGTGCTGAGGCCCTGGCACAGGGTGCCCAGAGCAGCTGTGGCTGCCCCTGGATCCCTGGCAGTGCCCAAGGCCAGGCTGGACAGGGCTTGGAGCAGCCTGGGACAGTGCAAGGTGTCCCTGCCATGGCAGAGGGTGGAACAAGGTCCCTTCTTGGGGGATCTTTAAGGTCCCTTCCAACCCAAACCATTCTGTGATTTCACAGCTGCACAAAACTGCACTGACAGATCCAACCTGAGGCTGAACTGCCACTTCTTGCACGGTGGAAATGGTGCTGAAGCCTCACCTGGGGCTGTTTCCCCTTCCCACCTGCCTTTGGCTGGTCCAGGCAGTGCTGGTGTAGGGACAGGTGAGGCCATTTTCAGCTGCTCTCCTGCCACAAACCAGAGTGGGCAGAGGACAAAAGCTGCTGGTGCTGCCTGAGCAGAATTGGCCTGAGCATTGTCTGCAGGAGCTGAGCTCAGGCCCAGACCTGGCTTAGCCCTGGCCATGAGCTGACTGTGCTGTGAGCAATCACAGGGCCATGGGTCCTCCCCATCCCATAATCACAAGAAAGGCAGTGGGAGGGGTTGTTTGTCCTCCACTGTCTGTCCACAGCAGCCTGTGAACCACCAGAGCCCCTGGGCATCCCTGGGCCCTTTCCCATGCCTGGCACTCTGACACTGCTTCACTTGAACAACTCCATCCCTCAAAAGATGGATGGGCACCTTCCTGCATCCTGAAATGAGCCTGGAACGAGGAGCTTTGCTTGCAGGAGGAATCCACCACCTGCAGAAACATCCCCAGCACAGGAGCTGCCCCAGCCAGGCTCACCCAAGAGGTTTACATGTACATAGAGGGGTGTGGGTGTGTGTGTGTGCTGTGCAGGACTCCACCCCCTGCTCCCATGGAGATGCAGTTATTTTATGTAAGAGTATTTTTTTAGAATGGGTATTGCTTATTCCACCTCTGTATGACTGATTGCACTGTAACAGGTCTGGTCCCTGTGATGCTTCCAAGGCTGGAAATTCTTGTGTACTTTGCCCAGCACGGTGAAAAACAAACCACACAGAAGTAACAGTCATAAATATACAACTTTAAAAAAATTACTGTTAAAGATTTATTGCAATAATACAATAAAATTTAGAAGGAAAAAAAAAAAAAAAACCCAAAAAAAAAAAAACCAACCCAAAAAAACCAAACCATTTGTGTTTAGTTACATCTTAAGTCTGGAAGTTGTGAGAGGGGGGCCGTGAGTTTCCCCAGGTGAAAAAGCCACCCTGGGTGTTCCACCTGAGACCCTGCACAGGCACCTGATTTTCAGCACAGGGCTGGGCCCTGCAATCAGGCTCTTCCTTGGCAGCCCAAATTGGCCACTCCAGGTCACTGCTCACCACCAGAAGTCCCGGCCAGAACTGAAATTCCCATGTTCATGCTACACAAAAAGTTTTGTAAACTCTCAGCTGGCTGCCTTCAAATATTTATAATTATGGATATTCCTGCCCTCCCTCCCTCCCTCCCTCACCCCCCCCAAATAACCTGGGAAACGAATCCTGGTGATTGCACTCAAGGTTTGGACACACACAATTCTTCCTCAGCTACACATGTGCAAAACACTTTTAAAAAAACCACCACAACCTTGTGTTCTGTTACAAAAAAAGGTTCCATGAAAAGCCCCACCCCAACACATTTGAACACCCCCACGGTGCCCTTGTGCACTCTCAGAGTATGACACGGTTGCAAATAAATTATTTTGGAAAACATGGATAGGAAGAATATGGCTTAGAAAAGTTATTGTGTTGGATTTTCTTTCCCTAAGTTCAGTGACAGTGCACGAAGCTGAGTCATGGCCTGACCTTCTGGGGCTCAAAGCACAAAGGCAGCAATGAAAAAGGGACTGAAATGCCTATTAAAAAACAACAACAAAAAAGGGATTTAGATGGTGGGGTCCAGTGCAAAATACACAGGGAAGCAGAAGGGGCTGGGCTGTGAGCCCAGTTTCCAATACTGGCGTGTGCTGGTTGCTCAGAGCTGTGAGTGCTAAAGTGCTGTGAGCCAAGAGAGCCCAGAGCCCAGCCTGGCAGCGGGGCAGGGGCCATGGCCCCCATCAGCTGCAGCAGCCCAGGGGCCTGGGCTGTTCTCCTGAAACAAACCCAACTCTTGGAGCAGAGCAGCGGCAGGAGCGAGGCTGGCGTTGTCTGACAACGTGCGGAGTTAAGGGTCTTTGGTTTAAAAAAAAAAATAAGAGAAAAAGAAAAATGAGGAGAAACTACTGACACCAGATGCCCAGCTCAGGGCTAAAGAGAAGCAGCTGCCATGGAGGGGTGGGTGGCACGTGGGTGTCACTGCCACACCTGGCTTCCACCCCTCCTGCGTGGGGACAGAGGCAGCACTGGCCAGCCTGGAGAGGGAGACAGAAATGCACCACAAAAGACCCTGTGAGGTGGCTGGGAAAGCCAGCCCTGGAGCTGGGAGCAGGCAGGGATGTGGCCTCTGTCACCACGTCCTGGTCAGGAGCTGTGTCCCCAGGAGCTGAGGGGCAGAAATCCTCCCTCGTGGAGGGAGGGCAGGAGGCTCTTCCTTGGCTGGCCCTGTGGAGGAACTGTCCCAGCTCTAAATGTAAACGTTGGAAGCTCTGCTGAGCAAACCACCCGTGGGTGTCCCCTCCTGCAGGGCAGAGGAAGAGGAGGAGCCCTTGCTGACCAAGTCACCTTTCAGCACTCACCTCCTGGGGTTCCACAAGCCAGCTGTGCCAGGGGAACCAAACCAACTTCTTGGCAGTCAGTAAACAACAAACCCCACCACGAACATACAATAAAATAGAGTTAAAAACACATGTAGTGTGGAGAGCACGTGACTTCACCAAACTGGCTTGAAATGGGGTTTTTCTAATGCTAAAAAGTGGCAACGTGGTGTGGTAACCGATGGATATTATTGCAACAATGCAATTCTGTATCAGCCTCCAATGTGGGTCTAGCAAGAGAATGTCCAGTGTTTCTTTGGTGCATGGTATTAAGAGTACAGAGCTTGTGTGCCTCAGCACAACACAAAACGTCTACACCTACCAGTGGAAACAGCATGAAACAAGCCAGTTTTCTATGGCAAAACTGGGTAAAGATTCACAACCAAATCTAAACCAAGAGCAATTTGCTGTGTGAATTCCCCGTCCATGCTGATCATTTGTATTAAAAATATGGCAACAGAGATTAGAAAACATGTTAAAAATGCATAATTTTCATGTCCTGAATGAAAAAAATTTAGAAATGCGCATTTTTGCATTATGCAAGACAGATTTAAAACACACACACACACAAAGGAAAACCCTGTAAGGAGTTAAGAAAGTGGGAACTGCATTTGCACCACTGTCCAGACCGCACCCTGAGCAGCCTTCCTGATCCAAACACTCCAAAATCTGTTTCTTCTTCAGAAAGTAGAGCTGGAGGTGGCTGGGTCCTTTGCCAATCCTCGATGCAGACAGAACCGAGACACGAGGTGCCCTGGCAGGATCCGTCGGGAGCACGGAGCTCATTTACAAAACGGGGCTCTCGCAGTCGTCTTGGGGAAATAAAAAGGTTTTCTCCGGTTTACAAAACGAAGTCTGACCTTTCCTTTGTTCCAGGCACTACTTAACAGAATAGGTAAAGGTTGATCACAGCCCAGTCAGGGAGGGGTTCCTGGCACAGCCCGCTAGCGGTGCCCGGTGTAGGCCTTGAGCCACGAGGTGACCGAGGCAGCGGCCGACGAGATCATCCCGCCCGCGCTGCTGCTGGCGATGGGCTGGGACGCCTGGGTGCTCTGGCTCTGCAGCATCTCCACCTGCTGAGAGGGGATGTCACAGAACCTGGGGCTGGGCAGGTTCTCCCAGTCCGTGCCCAGGTCCGTCTCCTCGTCGCTCACGTGCTCGTCGCCGCTCTCGTCCGTCTCGCCCGCCGCGCTCGGCTCCACAAACTCCATGGAGTCCTCCAGGTCGGCGCTGATTTCAAAGGGGCCGGACCTGTGGGGGGGACCCCATCAGTGCCTCTGTTCTCCCACCCACAGCAGCCTGCACTGCCAGGCACAGCAGAAATGGAGTGCCCTGTCTCTATCAGCTGGCACAGGGAGCTTGGTGTCACCCCCTTGGATGTAACACAAACACCTGGCCCAGGAAGGGCCAGGGAACGGTGGGAGGGAGAGCAGTTCTGCTCTGGCAGGGACAGAGGAACACAGAGCAGAGAAAGCTACTGGTGATAACTCAGGGCTCCACTGGGGGAATCCTGCCTTGATGAGGAGAAGCTTTAATTTCCAACACCAAGAGAGCTCAGCTCTGTCAGGCTGAACCTGCAACTCCCAGGTCTGGCACAACCAGAGAGACTTCAGAGTCTCATCAGTGGAGACTTCCCACTCTGCCCCAAGAACACCTCCAGCTCTTTCTCACTCTGAGGTTGGCCAGACACTGGAACAGGCTGCCCAGAAAGGCTGAGGGGTCTCCCCTGGAGGCACTCCAAACACAGAATCACAGAGTAGCTCAGGCTGGAAGTCACCACAGTGGCTCATCTGGTCCAATCTCATCATCCCAGAGCACAGGGCACAGGATTGTGCCCAGATGGCTCTGGAATGTCCCCAGTGAGGGAGGCTCCACACCCTCTCTGGTCTCTGCTCAGGGCTCAGTCACTGCACAGAGAAGTTCTTCCTCAGGTTCAGGTGGAACTTGTGGGCCTCAGCTCCTGCTCTGGTACCATTGTTGGGCCCCTGGAGCAGAGCCTGCTCTGTCACTGAGCCCTCCCTGCAGGCAGGGACAGACAGGGCTGGGGGCCCCTCTGGAGGGGTCCAGCCCCAGCTCCCTCAGCCTCTCCTGAGCAGGGCCATGGGTTGGATCCCCAGGGTCCTGCAGGGTCCCAGCTGTGCTGTGACTCAGAGTTCCCTGCTGCCACTGCCTGGTGGGAGAGGCGATTGCATCCTGCCCATCCCACTGCTTTGGGCTGCCTGTATTCCATGGAAAAAGGAAGATTCCCCTCAGCAAGCAGAGTGCCTGACAGAGCTCACTCCAAGCCATAAACTGCCCTGTGAACACGAGCAGGAATTTGATGGAATCATGGAATCATTTAGGTTGGAAACGACCCCCAAGATCACTGAGTCCCACCATTAAACACAGTGACCATTTAACACAGGCAGGAGTTTATCCAGCCTTAGTGGGAGAAGGAGCCTTAAGCAGTGATTTGTCATGGGAAATATTAATCCAGATAATTAAAGCTTGGTAAAATTATAAGCATATGAAAGCAGCAGCATATAAAGGAGATTGTCAGGCAACCACAGGCTTAGGTATCTAAAGGAAAACAAAGAGAGCTGGTTGTTGCAAACTTTGCAGCCAGCTGAGAAATGAAAGGCAAACACTCCTCCTTCATAATCTGGAAAGCAATGGGAGCTCTGCCTCCTGGCAAGGCCTTCTGCTTAACAAGGCAACACAAGAAGGAGTCATCAGGGCTGAGGCCAGAAGGGATCATTAGATCATCTCAAGTGACCTCCTCTCTCCAACAAAGGCCACTGAGTCCCACCCTTCTCCCTGTCCTGAGCCCAGCAACTCCTGCCTGATGACAGCATCCATCCCAGAACCTCATCCAGCCTTGAGAGGATGACAGAAGGAAACAGAATCCCCACCTTCATTACTGTGGGTAATTATTGTCTCTGCTAAGTGCATGTGCCTCATTTCAACCAGCTCAGACTCTCTGCTCCCAGTGGTGTCTGTAAAGCCACTCAGCAGCCTGGTGGGTACCTTACCCAGCTCTCCTGTGACCCTTTCTTTTACTCTCTGCACCCAGCTGATGCATGGGGAGCTCTGGGACACCTGCACAGGTGCCCACTGCAGCCCTGCACCCTTCAGAGCAGCTGCTTTCCTTTGAGGACACAGCTCTCCATCCTCTGGCTATTTCCAGCACTCTATTTCAGGCAGCAAGCACAGATTTTTTTTTTTGTCCAAAATCTTCTACAAAGATGTGGCTCCCCATGTCTGTGGGCTGGCTCAGTAGGGATAGATGCAGAGAACACAAGGAAGTGGGAACAGGCAGCTCCTCTTAGTGGCACTGCAGGTTTTTGAATAAAACCAGATCCGTACAAGAGAACAAAGCAGAAAAGCAGATTTCAGAACATCACTCACTGTGTTTAAGGGGGGAATAAAACATCAGGCACATCAAACAAATATTTGCAGACTGTCTTGGGCACAAGTGACTTGTGTCTGGGTTATCCCAATGGGGAAATCGGTGTTGTTTGCTTTCTTATATTTAACTTGTAAAAAAAAAGAAATAAATTATTAAACCTGGGGTGTGCATGCCAGAACTGATGTTCTTTTCATCACGTTCTAAGCTAAGGGAACAGTTGTCTTTAATCTTAATTTACATATAAATGAGTATTGTTTAAAGGGTCAGCTTTGGTCTAGGCAGTTCATTGACTGGAAGTATTCTGGGAAAGGTTTGCCTGGGATTCTTTTCAGGGTTTGTATTTCTGGATGCTCTCAGGTATTTGCATGTTGGCAAGGCGTGGGCAGGGTCACACTTGGAGCATGGCAAAGCTGCCTGGCATTTGTGCTGCTGTTCCCTGGAGGGAAGGAGTTCCTGCTCCTGGCTGTAGGGGAAAGGAGTCCATCATCAGCTGCAAAGCCTCCAGCTGAGCCTGCCATAGGCAGGAGCAAACAGCAAACACACAGCTGTAAATTTAATTCCCTCCTCAGGAGCCTCTTTTTCTGTCCAGTCTTTCCTCCTCCTGGACCTACCCTGATTTCTGTGCTGAGGACTGATCTATAGGCACAGCAGAAGAGAATTTCCCTCACAAGTAACAGGCAAAGGCATCAGTTCCAAAGGGATTCAGCCAGAGGAGAGTTCACATTTTGCTTTTCTTACCTGCCCAAGTTCTCGGTGTCTGGGCTGACCAGGTACATGAGGTTCCTGAGGGTATGCAGGGGGTGCAACAGATCTAAATTTACATGCTGACATGGGGAAGGGAAAAAAATAAAACATGATCAGGTCCTGAAGGAAACCAGCAGGCACAGCTGATATTTGAAAAGCTATTTAAAGATATGAAATGTGCACCCCCCCTACCTGAGAGAAGCAGAGGTGGAGGATATTAGCATTCAGCTTCTTCACTGCCCGTGTGAACCTGTGTCTGCTGAGATTCTCTCCACAGAATTCACTGTTAAAACACCACACACACAAAACCACACAGAAAAACAAAATGCTGTGAAAATACATTTACTGGAGACATCAGCATTCCATGCCCTGGCTTCCTAACAAATCCTGCAGTAAAAATCCTCGCAGCGAGCACTTGTTCAAAGTCTGCAGCCAGTTCTAGAGTGCTGAGGGGATTAATTTTAAACCTAGCAGGACTGTGAGCATTTTGTCAACAAGCTCTGCTTGCCCTGGCCTCACCATTTTCCACAGGACAGGTGGTGTGAACTGTAGGGAACTGAGATCCACCTGAGCCAAACTGTTTCAGGTCTCCTTTAAAGTCTTGCATCATTTCCTGTTCCCAACCTTTTCCTTCTGTGAGGGTTGAACACCCAAAGAGAATCAGAGAATCACAGAATGGTTTAGGTTGGAAGAGACTTTCAGATCATCTGGTTCCAAGCCCTCAGCCACAGGGTGGGAAAAAGCTGAAACTCTGCACAACTTTTGTGTCCTCACTTTGACAACCACTGTTTTAAAACACTTAAAAGAATCCCAGCAGCACATCTGGAAGCCCTGGGAGTCTGAGCAGGTCTGCAGCTCCTTCTGTGCAGATCCCAGCTGCTCCACACAGACACCAAAATTCTACCAGTGCTCTGCATCCTATATGGGGTTCACTCCTGGGTTTTTATCCCATGGGAATGACACTGCTGCCATGCCATGTTACAGCACTTGTCCCACAGCACAGGAGGCAGCAGAGCTGTTCAAGAGCTGCTGGACTGGGCTGGGATTTTGTGAAGCACAGTGGGGTCCAGTGAAATGAAAAGTGCCATTTGTGCACTGCCATATTTCATCTCTCATTTGAGGATGCTGAACATGTCAATTAGAGAGGTGTTACTTTCAACTCTGATGGCTGGTCTCCCTCTCAGGAAGTAAAAAAGGAGGGAGGGACTGTTAACTGTGGTCTAAAATCCTGCTAGCCCTCCCCTCAAACAGCACAAAAATCCACGAGCCACCCATGTTATCAAAAGCTGCTCCAATTCATGACTTTTTTTGCTCAAACTGAGGTCACTGATTCCCCTGCTGTATTTTTACTTGCCTGTTGCAGAGCTTCTTGGGAAGATTTACATCAAGTATGAGAGACAAAGTGTTAACGAGCTGAGTTGCATAGCACAATGCAGCACTGATGGTATGAGCAGGGTTATTATGTTCCATATCTGAAAGAAATAAAAACAACATGAAATCTTGGTTTTAAATGAAGTCTTGGTGGGTGGGTTAATATGTTCCTGGAGTCTACTCTGGAATATGTCATTTCTAAGCAAGGAGAACAGCCTGAATCTAGCAATCATTTCCAGTGAAATCTGTCAGAAGCTGGAAGAAAATAGTAATTCTTGGAATTCCTGTTAAGATGATGACATGTGAACTGTGTCAAAACTGTGAATAATTAACTTTCTCTATTTCGCTGTGCTGTGCATCCCAGTGAGAATTTCATGCAAAAGAAGATTTCAGCAAACTAGTCATAAAATCACAGAATGCTTGGAGTTGGAAGGGACCTTAAAGACCACCTAGTTTCAACTGGGCAGGGAATCTTCTCCTAAAACCCCTATTCTGGCATTTATTTCTGGCTCAGGCTGAGAACAAACGGACCAGTTTATGCTCCTCAGTGCCTTCTGCTGGCACCCAAAGTGTCCCAGCTGCCTAAACCCACGCCTTGCCCCTTACCAGGTCCCTGTGTAGTCTTCTTCTCCTCCACCCAGTTGTAGTAAGCAGAGTAGTCCCCGTTGTTGGGGAGGATGATCCAGGGCCCCGTGATGCTGATGCTGGTGTCCCCGTTGTGGTCGTCACACACCCACCTCCCGGACAGGTACGTGGTTCTCCGTGCCTCTGCCAGCTTGCTCACAGTGCTGGAGGTCATGGCATTGTCACTCTCTGAGGACACATCTGCTGGGTCCCTGCAGGCCCCACAGGGGTTGGAGAGAAGTGGGGGGCAATGGAATCAAACACACACTCGGCAGGCACTGAGCCGGGTTTCACCCAGGGCAAAGTGCTCGGAGGAATGCTCCTGTGAAAGTCCTCAGTCCCAAAACTACTTTCATTTGTTCACTGTGGGGTTTTTAATGGGCTGGTTTTGTAGAATCCAGGAATGGTTTGGGTTGGAAAGGACCTTACAGACCACTTCTGCAAAACTCCTCATTCCCAAAACTACTTTCATTTGCTCTGGGATTTTTAATTACCTGTTTTTGTAGAATCCTAGAAAGGTTTGGGTTGGAAGGGGCCTTACAGACCATCTTATTCCACCCCTGCCATGGGCAGGGACACCTTCCACTATCCCAGGCTGCTCCAAGCCCTGTCCAGCCTGGCCCTGAACACTTCCAGGGATGGGGAATCGATATTTTAAGGAAGTTTAACACTGAACATTCAGCTCATATCTCTCAGTGGGGAGATGCAAGCACCTCCAGATTCAGATGTTCTGGGGATGGTATGGATTGGAAAAGACCTTATAAATCACTTCTGCAAAACTCCTCATTCCCAAAACTACTTTCATTTGCTCTGGGATTTTTAATTACCTGCTTTGTAGAATCCTAGAAAGGTTTGGGTTGGAAGGGACACCTCATCTCATTCCACCCCTACCATGGGCAGGGACACCTTCCACTAGACCAGGCTGCTCCAAGCCCTGTCCGGCCTGTCCCTGAACACTTCCAGGGATGGGGAATATATATTTTAAGGAAATTTAAAATATAAAACTTCCTGGACATTCAGCTCATTTCCCTCAGTGGGGAAATGCAAGCACCTCCAGATTCAGATTCTTCCATCCCAGACCTCCATCTGTGGGTGAGAACACAACTCCTCCTCCTCCTCACAGACCCCAAGGGAGCCAGACTACCTACCTGAGACTGACACAACTCCCTTCTGGGTGCCTAAAACCAAGCAAAAGGATCCCCAAAGGCCAAGGCTGCCATACCTCATGCTTGTCTTCACCTCCTCCATGGGGAAGATGACCGAGGTCAGCTCCAGGATGTGCGCGCGCCGCAGGTTGGCCAGGTGCTCGTACTGCGTTTTCAGGTCGTAGGTTTTCTTCTCCACCAGGTCTCCCAGTTTCCTGTTGTGCTTCTGGATTTTCTCCTTCTTCTCCTGGTGCCTCTGAGCCCTGCGATAATGCTTCTGGTTCTCCTCTTTAATCCTCAGCAGCCCCTCTGTGTCTGTGAGAACAGCAGCAGATGTTATCCCTTGGAAAAGGAGCTGGGAAGTGCTTGCAGGAAAAGCTTGAGAAAAGCTTTATTAATATTTATGGAAAACAAGATCTCTGGCAGCTTCAAACAGAAAACCCTGCTAAACTATTAACTTCTTCCAGCTGCTCAGTGGTACAACTTTTTAATCTCCTCTGAAGATCTCCAAAGAGACTGCAACTGGGATTATTCTTTCCCTATCTTTTACCCAGCTATTTCTGGATTTGGAGCACAAAAGCCAAGATTTCCCAGTTTAATTAAACTCCTGAGCTAATCATCCTGACAGAAATAGCCTGACTGTACACGTTTGCATTGTGCTGGCCAAAAAAGCCCTGCCCTGCTTGCAGCCAAAATCAAGTGCAGATAGCATCTTCATTCACCAGCCCTGGCACCTGTGCTGCTGCTAGTGTGGGTTATTTGGGATTCTCTCATGGATGTGCTCTCACAGCACTTGGATCCCAACAGTGCAGGCTCCTTGCTCCCACAGGGAACATTTGCTATCTCCCTTTCCACTCACAAATGGGAATTGTGCTCATGGGCTGAAGTGCTGCAACTGCCTGGATTCACTCCACGTGTGTGAGGTTTGGAAAAATACCCTGCAAGAGCATCTTGAAGCATCCAAGGTGGGGCCTGATGATCCTAAAGGTCTTTTGCAACTTTGATGATCCTAAAATCTGCTCATTCAGATATAAAATAAGTAGCTGCAGTAATGAGAGTCACCTGTGTCTCTTAAAAACACAGGGCAAGATTTCTTGTGCTCTCCCCGAGTACATGTTTAAAACTCTCCCTGTGCCCTAGTTTGAGGTGTGCCTGCCCCTGCAGACACAGAGGCTGCTCTCTCTGAACATCAGGAATTATTTCCAGTCATCTGATCTGCTGCAATCCATGGTGTGTCTGGTAGGAAGGAAGATCTGGTATGTGGGAGATGCCAAGTCCCAAATTAAAGGAGGTGAGAAAAGCTCCTCCATGAACATAAGAACTAATAATCCTCAGGTTTATATAATATAAATAAGTGACCCCTGTTAGAGGAGCAGTAGAAAAATCCACTTTATTCTGGGCAATGCCAGAATCCCTAATGTGTCAGCTATAACTCCCCTTCCTTTAAGCAGCCCTGTAACATCAACAGAAAATCAATTAACACTTGCAGTCATATTCCCAAACTCTCCCTTTGCAAAAAGAACAGGAGAGAGGCTGAGGAGGAAAAGGTCCAGCTGTTCCATTTTCACATTCATGTTGGACTTGAAAGGCTACTTTTTCAGAGTAAACTCCCTTCCCTGCAGGTCCAACAGCAATTATTTGGGAATAGGGGAGACACTGCACTGAAATTTCCTCTTCAGCAGTCCCAGTGCACAGACAACTGTCCTGCCCTCTGCACAGCACCTCTGCTTTATGACCCAGTTTATGAGGTGATTAAAAATCTGTCCCTAGGAGTATTTCAGGACACCACTGTGTCCCACACACCTGCACTGCCTGATAAATGCAAGCCCAGGCACACTGATCTCTGCCCAGAGAGCTCTGCCAGGGATTTGCAAGCCTGTCTCCTTGAACTGTTCTGCGTGGAAAGAAGGCAAACACAGATTTTAAAACATTATTTTAAGCACCACCAATTATTGAGGTCTCCAGGAGAGTCAACTCCAAAAGCAGGAACCCAGTGTTCTAGAAATGGTTTTTATTTCAGAAAATTAAACTATGCCACATCCAAGAGTAGAGAAACGACCTTTTCACACTTTTTAATGTGGACCAAAAGTGACCAAGTTGGATCCTGATCTGTTGGCTACTCACAGCTGGAATTCATTCCTGGTCTCTCTCCAAAAGCAACTGAGCTAACAATAGGTTAGTTGGGCAATAGTCAGCTCAGTTTTTAGGTTACATCTAATCAAATTCACTGTGAGTCAAGAGAAGTTGCAAAAGCTGCAGATAATAAATTCCACAGAACAGTGGGAAAATGGAGAACTCCACTCCCTGGTTGGTCCTAACTCTGCCACCTCCAGAGCAGAGCATTTTGAGAAGAGGTGACTAATTCCTTAAAGTCACATTGATTTCCTCTTCTCCTTTCTTCACAGGCAAAAGACAAAAAGTCATAATCTAATCTCCATAACAATAATCTTCTACCCACTGAAAAGCTTGTTTTTCTTCAACTTCCTCCTCTCTAAACCAAACATGAATTTTCTTAGCTCTTCTATTCAATTTCCAATGCTCAGACTTTCCTCTGATTATTTATATCTTTCTTAAATTGTTTAAATTGGACACCAGCTTTCCACTAAAGCAACAACAACACCTGGCACAGCAGGATAACTGCTTCCATCTTAAATACAGCACTTATATTAGTTAACCCAGAAAGAGGCCTGAACCTTTCTGGAGCAGCACAAGATTGATAATTTTTATTTAATTTGCAATTCCCCAGATGCCTTCCTGCCAAATCTCACCACCATCCCCCATTCTGGGTTTATGTTTCTCTTTACAACAATGTGTACCTTGATTTTGTTCTTTCAGGATGATGCTGTCTATTTATCTGCATGATTTTCAACTTGGTCCTGGTCTCCACAGAAGTCATCTCCCCATCCAGCCTGGCTTCCTCCATTCCACCCTCTGTTCTACTGAGCTATTCTGGGAAATACTGCCAGGAACTGGGCCAGGAACTGGCTCCTGCTGAGCTCCACCTGCCTCACCTCCTCAGCTTGACCAGTGCCACCACTCTTTGAATGAAGCTTTTCCAACCTTCTGTGATGACCTTGCAGGGGTTACACCCAGAGCAAATTTTGTTTGCTCACAAGACAGTTTCAGGCAGTGCCCAAATCCAAGTTACGTGCAGCTGCTGCTTCATCCTCCACTGCAGCACCTGATCCCCAGATGAGGGGTTGATTGCACATGAATATCATGACATAAATAACAAAACATGGTTTGACAGGAATACCATAACCAAGTGATGGCTGTTTTTACCCACCTTGCCTGGCAGTTACCAGCAGAGCCCCCCTAGGTGTGTGACAGGATTCCTGGGCCATCACTCTGGGGTTCTGCCTTGCTGCACCCTTTGAAGGCAGGTGCTGCTCTCAGCTTCCTCACTCAGGCTCCCAAGTGCTCCACAGACCACCTCAGCTTGTTCCTTGGCTTCCATAAAACAACCAATGTGTAGTTATCTGTTTCCTTCCTTAGTCTGCAACTGAGTCCTCTCATGATGTCAAATTTAACCTGGCTAAGAGGCTGATCCCACTTTCTTTGCAGGAAGATGAAGCAAAGGCAGCACTGAATGAATGCCTCAGACTTCTCTGCAGTGTTATTGTTCTCTTTCCTGTTGACTAACACACTTTTCTGCTCCCTCACCTTTTCTTTATCATCCATTTATTATTGTTACTATCCATCCTCCTTTTTAATTGAAAATAATTTTGCATCTCAGCCTTTTTGATTTTTCACCCCAAGCCCGTGCTAATCCTTTATGACTCTTCTCAGGCTCTGCCTCTGCTTCCACTCTCTGTATGGCTCCTCTTGAATTTCAAGCCATAAAAATATCCCAGATTCAATCAATATGCTTCTGAATATGCTTCCTCTACTTCCCTTGCATGTAGATTGTAAGGAGAGCTGCATATTCTCTTCTGAAAAATGACCCTGCAAATTTAGTGTGAAACAATCTGATGGGTTTCAAAAACTGAAGTTTCTGAATGGAGCCTACACCTTAATTTCAGTGACTCTTGCTCAAGTAGGATTTTTGGATTTTCAGACAGGTGTGGGTTAAAATTCAGCAGTTTCAGGAAATCTGTGACAGCTGCAGAGCTGTTTGCTGCTCCTTATCAAGAGGAAGTGATCAGAAACACTACACTGAATACAGCCATCTCTAGGGACACAGCCAGAGTCACAGGCTGCTAAGCATTTGCTCTTAAAGCTGCTGCAAAACCATCTCCATCCAGCTGAATAATGTCTGCTGTTTGCTAATTAAAACCCAAGCATAAAAAGGCCAAAATCCACTCAGTGATTTGCCTTCAAGTTGATTTAGGAAGCAACTGTTTGGAAATTCACCATTTAAAAAAAACCCTAACGTTCAAATTCACCTCAATTGATTTTTCACTCTAAGGCACGGGGAGTTTTTCCACATCACAAAAGCACAGGCATTACTCACGTCTTGTCATTTCATCATTTTCTTTGCAAATGGTCTGTTTCAGCTGCTCAATCCTCATCTTGCAAGACATTATTTTCCATCTCTGAAAAAGAACATTCAGCAACTCTAGGGCACAAGTGACTTCAAACATGCTGAACGAATGATTAACAGCAAAGCCAGCAGCTTTAGTGCAAAAAGTAGCAGGATGCTCTTGAATGGATCAAACAACTAAATATTTCATACAGTGTTTTGTGCACAGAAGAATGCCACAAACAAAATGAGGGCTTAGTTATAAAGTCAATTGGTAAAATAAGTTACTGAACAAATATCTAGTGAGAGATGAAAAATTCAGACAGCTTGGAACACTCTGCTGGCAGAGCCCATTTCAGTTTTGCTTACAACAGGCTCTTTGGGAAAGCAGCACAATGCCCTCAAGGTAAACTGTAACTTTAAACTATGAGATCTAGGAATTCAGAGAGTTTAAAAACCATGGGACGCTTGGAGCAACTCACCAGCTGATCAGTTATTTCTTTCCCTTCCATGGCCTTCAAAACACTAGAGGAAAAAACATGATTGAAAGTTTTATGACTATCTGGACTTCATCTGTCTGCAGCAACAGTGTGTTAAAAGAGACTGTTTCCTTTTATGAGATCTCTTAGCTTTTATATCAATTTAATAAATACAACTTACTGTTTTTGGAATTCTCTCTGTTTGGTTTTAAGATGCATCAGCCTTTCTTTCTTGTCTGAAAACCTGGAAGAGATTAAATTCTTTTATTGATATTTTGCACAATTACAGCACTGTAAGTTGTCTGAAAAAGATAATAAAATTGAAGCTTGGGGATTCTCCAAACCTCAGCTATCTGTCTTGATCTGGGGAAGTTAATGGCTAAATGTGTAAAACTCTTGCAGAATTCTAGAGCATGAGTCTCACTGGAATTGCAACAGAGCCTGTAAGCTGGAGAAACATCAGAGTGTTGAACTATCAAACAAATAGCAAATTACTGCTATTTCTAGATTTATAGCTTAGCAAGAGCACTGTTTTGTGTGTTACAAAAAACATGGAGTACTTTAAAAGACCTTCAGTCACTGGAGAAATTAATAGTATTATTTCATGACCCAAATGTCTGCTTCAGCTCTGCTTCACTGGACTCTAGGATATGGGAACTGATCAGAAAGAAATTTTTGCAGGATTCATCATCCTGTGTTTTCACCCTTTGAGTATACAGAAGCCACATTCTGCCCCCCTTATTGTTCCCCAATTCATTCTATTTTTCTCTGCAACACAGAGAATTGATGATTTCATCCTAACAGAGCTATGGTATTTGTAGATGCTCCATCCCTGGAAGTGTTCAAGGCCAGGCAGGATGGAGCATGAAGGTTCCCATGGCAGGGGTTGGAACTAGATGGTCCTTAAGGTCCCTTCCAACCCAAACCATGTGATTTTATGATTTTACTTGCATTTCATGGACATTTATGCTTTATTTAGAAAGAATAGTACACTAAACCTTGACAGGATGACATCTTGGACTTCCTTCTCTGTTGCTCTGTGGATTTGATTTCAGGTAAAACTTCAAAATGCTTCACTTTTTTCCTTCAAGTGCTGAAAGCTTGGTGACTACCTTTGGATTCAGAGCCTGTGTAACCACCCTCCCAGATGACATTAGCATTAGAACAACAAAACCACTGGCTGCTGCTTTTGCAGTCAAGCAAAAGAATCTGTTTTCCTTCCAAAACAAACCAAAACCAAATGCAGGTGCTTGGCACAAAAGCCAGAGGCCACACGTGAGCTGGAGGAATGTGGTGCAACTGGAGCCCAGCTGCTCAGCCCAGCTCATCCCCTCTTCCTGTGTGTCCTCACCCCAGGAGTCACCCTGGAAATGACAAAAGGCCCTGCATGAGCCTCCTGTTTACCACAGAGCAGAGCACACCTACTGCACCCCCACCTTTGGCTGCCACAAAGATCCCCTGGCCCAGAAACACAGAGCTCACCCAGCAGCCACCCAGGCTGGGGTCACCTGGCAGTTCTGGGTTCCTGAGCTGGATTCGTGGGCACAGACCCTGACTGAACAGAATCACCCAGTTCCTGTCCATCACACCAGCAAAAAGCTGAATGATCTGTCACAGAACAGAGGAATAAATGAAGTTCTGGCTGTGGAGGGAAGGCAGAAGTGTTTGTGGAAGCCTGCAGAAATTGCAGCTCACCACGCGCTTCGCAGTGATGTCAAACAGCTCCTAGCAAACCCTCCAGCAGCTTCCTCCTGAGCAAACATCTCCACTGCTTTATATAGCTCTGATCTCTACTGCACTGCATCCTGCAACTCCTTCTTCTTTATATATCTTCAGCCTTTCCATTTGGCAAAAAAGCAAAACTTGGGATGAATTATTATAGGAACTCCCATCAACTGTAAACTGAGAGGAGAGAACATCTTGAATTACCCGTGAAATGTTTCTCTTTCCTCAAGTCTTATCACATTAAGGTGAGATTTTCTGTGGTTGCCTGGCTTATTTCCACATGTTCATGATTAGAGAGAAGCAACCAGAGAGAGGGGCTTCCTACATGAATCTACATATTAATCTACAGGAGTTGATTAATGCTGAAGGAGCTGAGGGCACAATATTCACTATAACTGCTGAAAAAAATCACTATTCCTAACCAGAACCCATAGCTTGGAGAAATTAGCCAGGCTCAGACATCACAATTACATTGTCTTTGGCTTTTGCCATCTGCAGATACACAAAGCAAAGCAATTCAGCAGTCTGGGAAACACACTCTGAGAATTTATGCACACCACAGGCTGGAGGACACTCCCAGGAGGAAGAAGAACCTCTGAGCTGAGACCAACATCAAGATGCCAGCTTGGCTTTTGAACACACAACACATTAGTCATGAAAGGAAGGATGGCAGTGACTGTTCTACTGGAGGACTTCTGGACTACTCATCCTTAATTGTAGCTCTCCTTAAGTAATTAATCTGAACAGCTCCTCAGTCTCTCCCCCTCACAGATATGGGGTGTGATTTTTGCCAGACAGAAGAAAAACTTCCAATTTTACTGCAGCTCTTCTAAAAGTTAGCTCACAAAATAGTCCCGTGAAATCTGAAATAATTAGAACATGAAATTGTTTGTCTTCATATAAGGAAAATTCACAAGAATATTCTAAAAATAAACCACTGTTGGATACAAGGAGTAATGCTTGGTTTCCTTCTATTTAGCCAGGAAGATAATGATCCTTTTCCCCCATCTGTAACACTTCAAAAAGACAAATGGGAGGCCCAAGTGCCCCCAAACACTTTCACATTCTGAATTCCTCACACTGAGCCACTCAGCAAAGCCCTTGCCATGACACTCCTCCAGCAGTGGCTGATCTAAAATTAACCCAGGCACTACTAGAAGGCATAAAATAAATAAATAAACAACGCTGGCTGTAAACAGCAGCTGAAAGGCACCCAGTGAACTGCACCTGTCCCTGCATGGCTCTGCCCTGGTCACCATTTCAAACATCTCCCCCTCTCCCAGGGCTCACATCACAAGAAATTCAGAGACATCCACAAAGAGCAAACAAAGAAAACTGACCCCTTCCCCACTCTTAAATCAGTAATTCCAAATATTAATTAGAGGATGCAAACAAAATGTTTCAGGCACGGTTTAAACATAATCCCATTATCCTCAAAACTCAAGCTTTTGTCCCTACACAGAGTTCCTGCAACCATTGGGGACATTGTGTTATTCATACAGATGTGCTACTCCTTTAATTCATTAAAATAAATTTGCCATTTTTAATGAATTGCACTACTGCAATTAATTGATGGAAAAGTTCTGAGCAGCAGGAGAAACAAAGCCTGGGGAAATGGAGTGTGCAGGGAGGCCCCAGGTTAATACAGCAGCAGTGACCCTAGAGATAGAACTGTGATGTCCAGGCAGAGAAGGGGGGAAAAAGACCAAAAAACAAAAAATAAGAAGAGATTTAATCCTTGCAGTTAAAAAACACAAGGTAAATACACAGGAGCCTTTCCAGCCACAGACAAGTGGGGCAGTGAAAGCTTCTCAGGAAGATGCAGTGACAACTGTCAGACAGAAAAGCTGATCCTGGCTCATGTGAGAAGATAAAGAGGGTTTTCTCTTATACTGCTGCTTCTGGTACTTTGGCTAAAGCTGCTTCTTTATGACTTCATTTTCCTGATGGGCAGAGACTTCTTAAGCCTTGGTTAATACAAAACAACAGGGCTTCAACTCTAACAAAGGCTACAGTTGAATTTCTATAATTAAACCTGATGTTTAGCCAAAAACTTAAGGCTGCAAAAGAGACAGGAAAAAAAACCAAACTTGGTTTATATTCCAAGCTCCATATCCAACCTTTTAATAGAATCTGCAGAAAACCCCAAGCAGTCTCACACAACTACACGTTTTCCACCTATTTTAGACAGGCTAAATCTAGTTTGTGGTTCTCCAACACAGCTTTTTTTACATTAAAAAAGGGAACAGACAGACAGACTTTAGTGACAGACTAAAGTCTGAGTTCTGCAAGCTGACTCACACTGGCTGACAGCATTTCCCCACTCCCGTGGATGTTGGTGGGTGAAAGGCACCACTGTCCCCTTGTTCCTGGGGACACAAGGAGCCTTTGGAGCGAGGACACGGCCGCCCCACACACTTCCCAAAATAGCCCCAGGAATCGCTCCCAACAGCTGCTAACGAGGGACCAGGAACACGGTGCCAGCCAAGAATCAGAGCCCTTCCAGACATGGCCCTGGGGACTTTTGAAGAATCTGGGCTGGACGGCAGCGCTGGAGGAGCCACCTGAGTCATTCCATGAGGAAATTTGTTTATGGGCACAGCGCTCATGCAGGGAGAGCCAGCGCTCCAGAAGGAGCAGCGTGGAACACCATGAACTCAAGTGGATACTTTTTTTTGTCCATATTTATGGGTATAGACACAAGAAAATATTTATTTTTCTTTCTTATACACCTTCCTAACTTCGCTTAACGATTTAGAAAACTACTGTTTCAAGGAGTGTTGACGAAAAGAGGTAAATCGTATGAAACAACACTGCACGGGTATCTGTGCCCTGAACTGGAGCTTCTGTGGCTACATCACCACGGACCCATCCGCACCTGACCGAGTGAAACTTGGGGTCACTCCTTAATTATTATTATTATTATTAAAACTATTATGATTTCAAGGCTCGTACCGAGGGTCCTGCTGTGTCCATCCCCAGTCTCAGGGTGGGCCCGGCGGCCCCCAGAGCGTTCCCCACCCACACCCCGAGCCCCCCGAGCCCCGGGACAGCGGGGAAGGGGCACAACCCGGTCCCCATGCCCGGCCCTGAGGCACAGCGACCGCAGCAGGGCAGGGAGAGCCCGCCCCGCTCCCCTCAGCGCCGCCGGTACCTCTCGGAGTCGCGCCCGTCGAAGAAGACGAAGTCGCCGCTCTGCACGCACTTGGCGCAGGTGAGGCGGCGGCGCGTGGTGTTGCAGAGCGGGCACCGCTCCACCGCCACGTAGAGACCCTCGGCGTCCTCCTCGGCGCCCCGCAGAGCCCCGGGCCCGGCGGCGCTGCCCCCGCCCGGCCCCGCGGGCTGCGGCCGGCGGCCGCTGGGAGCCGCCATGTTGGGGCCGCGGGTCACGTGGGACGCTGTTGCCGGGCAGGGCATTGTGGGAAGGGGCGCTGAGGCGGCGGGCTGGGGCGGGGGAGGGCGCGGGACAATCTTAGTTTTTCATAGAAACTGCGCCCTTTTCCTTCTGCAGGAGGAAAGGGAGCACCGCTGGGATAGTCCCAGAGCGATGGGGGTGTTGTGTTCCGGTTCGTGGGGCTTCACCGCCGGTAGCTGTAGCATAACCAGGCAGTGCTGTGGGGACTGCGGCTCCCAGCGAAAGCACGGCCGTGTATTCACAGTAATATCCAGATCGCTTTGTCCAAGCGGCAAATAACGATGCACATCCTGAAATCCGACTGAGGGAGGTTGCCTCAAGCCAGCCTCCATGGTGGAGCGACGATGAGGAGTTAAAGACACAGGATGAAGGAGGGTTGAGGAGAAGGACCTTAAAAATCATCCAGTTCCAAGCTCCTGACCTCGAAAGGTCCTTCCACCATCCCAGGGTGTGCAAGCCCTGTCCAACCTGGCCTTGGGCACTTCAGGGATCAAGGAGCAGCCACAGCTTCTCTGGGCACCCTGTGCCAGGGCCTCACCACCCCTTTTCTGAGTAAAGAAGTTTTTCCTGCTAACTAATATTTCCTAATATGAACCTACTCTCAGTTTGAAGTCATTTCCTCCTCTGTCTGTAGGCAATTAGAGGAGACAGAGTCCACAGAAGCCAGAATAACTTAAGCAATATCCCCATATGCCCCTTCCCAAAAGAAACACAACTGCAACAACACATTCAACAACACATTACCTTTTTTTTTTTTTCTTTTAAGAGCAATTCCCAGCCTACCCAACCTTTATTTCCCCCCTTCCCAGTGTTATCAAACACTAAGCAGGAACAGCACTGTGGAGGTAGAACCAAGATACCAAGACTGTTGTTTTTAAGACAAGAGTTACCATAGCAAACATTAACTTAATCAGTAGCTCAGTGAAAAGGCACAGAGCCCATTTCTTATCTCTACAGCTTTATCTGTGCTTCTAAAGAACACTAATTTTACCACTGAAATCATGTGGCAAGCTCTTAAGCAAAAACGTGATTTCTTGAAGAGGGCTCATCTTAGATAAACTTTTTTTTCCCCCCAACACCTCAATAAAACCAGGGTATTTTCACTTACAAAAGATTATTCTCAGTGAAGCTCATCAGCTGCTTCTACAGCTAGAGTGCAAATAAAAGTCCAGCCCATGGCTGTGGAAAGTCTCCAATGTTAAAAAGCAAACAGAAAAGTAAGCCTGTGTTTAAAATAGATTTGAGTGTGGAAATCCACAGTTTGACAGAGAAACTGATAACAGCTAAGACCAACTTATCATGAGGAAGTGCACAAAGTTTTTCAAAGTTTGCAGGGAGATAGATAGAAAACCACTTGTGAGAGACACATAACAGATACAGAAGATGAAGCCATGCCCTCACCGAATCAGAAATAAACTTTTGTGGCAGCAAAACTCAGCCCAGCAAGACCCTGTTGGGAGTTGAGCCGAGTATTTCCAGCAAGGACCGAGGAGGATTTTGGCCTGGGTTACGCTTAAATCATCTAAGAGCAGCCTCTAGTGGTGTTTGCAGACAGGTACCAACACCTTCAGGAGGGAAGGGCACGGCAGAACTGCTCTGGCTTGCTTCCAGGGGCTTTCCAGAGCAGCCATAGGACAGCTTTGCACTGTTCCTGCTCCCTGCACCACTGTGTGCAGGACACCTTCTGTAAAGAAAGGCTTGACTTCAAGCCAAGTACAGGAAACCTCATTGGTTTTGCTCCAAAATTACCAAATTACTGCCATTGGCTGAATTCTGGTTAAATAACACAGGTAAGTAAGTCATGAACATCCAAGACTTTTTGTATTTTCCTCAAATCCATTTTTAACAAAGTTCCAAACCAACATGCTTCTGTCTGCACCAAACTCCCATCATCTGAGGGAGTCATACAAGTGGGTACCATTTGGTTAAAAATCTAACTTGTCCCATGTCAAATTAGAAAATTTAATTAATTACACCCTTCCACCCACAGATTTTCTAGGTATAGCCCAGCAGTCAGGACCTGGAATATCTTCTCTGTGAAAGAAAATCCTGTACCCTCACACACAAGAGTTTACCCAGCCAGTGGGATCAGAGTGATTCCAGCACTTGTGTTCTAAACACCAAAATCAACTCATGCAAGATTTTGTAAGCCATGTCATAGACAATAATGTATGTTAAGCTTAAACATGAAACTACAACACTACAGGAGCAATTCAGGACACTTAGAGCTGAGGATTCTGATTAAACCAATTTGAAGTGCAGTGTGGATTCACCTCCTCAACAGGGAAAGAGACACATGGCTTCTATTACAAAATATTTTTAAGTGACACCTTAACATACATTCTATTAAAAGTGCATTCATTTATCAAGTGTTTTAACTTGACAGAAGTTGTCAGAACTCAGGTGGATTACAGACAGATCATCTGAAAGAAAGGAACATTGCACAGGCCATAGAAAGGCATCAGCATATGTGGTATTCAGCAATGAATAATTTGTTTAATAATCCACAGATGTGTCCAGGAATGCCCTTGGTTCTGCTCCAAGCACAGCAACACAAGCCCAGGTGTTATTCTGGATTGCTTTGGGAGCCGTGTCATGATGGTTTCTTGAAACCTCTTAGAATGGGGTAGATGTTCTCAAATGCCTCATAGATTTCAGAACGGTCTTTTGCTCCTAAATGGACATTTAAGATAAAAAAGACCATGAATTGAGAGAGCTGAACTTAAACTAAATGCAATTTAAACCCAGTAAGATTACAAACCATGAAGAAACCCAGGAGACTGAAAGCACCTTACTGTTAAAGACAGAATTTCTATCTGCCACCTCAAAGAGCATTTCCTAGCTTGCTTAGCTTTAAGACTAGTTTTGTTTAATCTGTGCAACCAAACCAGCAATTTTCTGCTCTTGACAGGTGCCAAATATTGGCTTTGAAGAAGGGAAAAAAAGCAACTGAGCACCACCATGGTGTTATCTGCTTAAGAATAACAGCTCTGCTTGTTCATGAGGTGAGTGGAAAGGTAGAAACAAGTTCCTATTTATTTCATACTGGGAGTTGTTCCACAGTTTGAGAACTCTCCTTCTCCAGCTCTGAGAAGCAATTTTAATTTTAAGCTGTGTGTTAAGACACCTTTGATTTCAAATCCTTTTCTGTGGTACTGGTAACAAATCTTTAATACCGAGTTTTGCACACAAACTGCATTGCAGTAGGCAGGAACATTCCCTGCCAGCAACACTACTCATGCTGGTCCAACAAACATCAGCCAGAAGAAAACTGCATTTAAATGAACTAAAAGTGGAATTAAGCCCTACTTTGGTTGGATGTGTAAACCTTTACTCATGTCCTCACTTGGACACAAATAATTCATCTGCCTTACCACAACTATTACTTTCAAAAATAAAGTTTCTTTCTTGATTAGGGAGAAAAACCCTCTTCACATCTCAGCAATTTCAGTTTTGTCATGACAGCTGGGCCCAGGACTCGCAGCAAAGGACTGAGTGTGCAGCAAGGCCCTTACAATTAGTGTACCCCAAAAAAATGCAAGCATCAGTGGAAGGGAACTGACCAGTATGATTTTACTGATCAGTACAATTTCACTAGACCTAAGAAAATTGTGGACATTGGAGGGGGAAGCATTTGAGCTTTGTCCTGAGTGCCCCATCCTTCAGCTGGCTGAGCTCATTCCTGATTTATGGTTGTGAGAATCTCTGGCTAAGGGAGGCACTTTTCTTACCTTCCCCACTCCCAAAGCTGTGTTGTGAACATGAATACCATATTCAGAGCTTCTGGGAACAAGCACCATTCACCTTTCAGTACATCTGAATAGAAGCATTTTCATGAGCTTCACAAAAAGGATGTGCCAGGAGCTCAGGAATTCACCTTTTTTGAAAAAGTCACCTGGGATCTGAGGTACAGGTATCTGCTGAGCACACTGACTCAGCAAGGCTTTTGTCTCACAATTTTTTTGCCAAACAGTCTGGAACAAGCTCGAAGATCTCCACCCTTTCCTCTGATAATCCCTACTAAATGTTGTCAGTGAAGTGTTTTAAGAAGTTTGTTTCCTGTCCAAGCAATTTTAAATTGCTTATTGTGAGGTTCCTATTTAAGTGCCTGAGTAGTTGCTGGCATGGCAGCATCCTGTTGGCATCATCTGCATTGGCATGTGGCATCAGGCTTTGAATAAAAAAATACTTAACATGGAAATCTGAGACTCTGTATATGAAACAATACAAGATTCTAGTGCAACAATACTGATGTTATCTGCAGAAAACACAGATAAAGCTGCAGCAGCCATTAGAAAGATCCCTGAGTGGCTTTACTGCGGCAAGATACTGATTTTTAGTTAATGTTTAATTTAAATACTCTCTCAGAAAGTGAAGCAGTGGGTAGAGACACAGAGAGGCAGCACTTACCAGTGAGTACAACTTTCCCAGACACAAAGATAAGCAGCACTATCCTTGGTTTGACCATCCTATAAACCAGGCCAGGGAATAGTTCAGGTTCATAGCTGTTCAAAGCAAGCAGGTGAGATTAGTAAAATGCAAAAGCTGTTTCAGTGCTGTATGAATAAAGTGCTCTTTAATTACAGCAGCAATAGGGTAATTAACCACACTGATTTTATCTAGCTGCCCTGAGAAAGGTTCAGGTCAGGTTTTGGACATCTTGAAGAGAAACCTGTTAAGCCCAGCTGGAGCTGGTGGGGGATCTTCCTGCTGACAAAGACTTGTGAGCCACTTCTGATCTGTCATAGCCTTAGAACCTTTATTGTAATCTTCATACTGTCCTCAAATCATGGAATGGCCTGGCTTAAAAATCACCTCATTCCACCCCCTGCCATAGCAGGGGCACTTTCCACTGTCCCAGGCTGCTCCAAGCCCTGTCCAGCCTGGCCTTGGGCACTGCCAGGGATCCAGGGGCAGCCCCAGCTGCACTGGGCACCTGTGCCAGGGCCTGCTCACC